CCACCCGTGAACACCGAGAATTCCTGATTCTCTGCTTTACTGCTATACCAAATGATTCATCTGGAGTCTAGACAGGTCCCTAGCAGTTACACTGGGTGGTCTCTGGGAGGACGGGGGGGGAGGGGAACACGATTTGCATCGATTTGTAGGGAACTTAATCCGTAGGCTCTGTAATATTCTCATGGAATTTTCTCTAACGACCTATATTATTCGAGGAAACCCCGTTCTGAATTGCAGGGTTGCCGGAAAACGACGTCTCGGCGACGTTGGTGCTCCACTTCCTTATCCGTCTTCTTTATTGCATAGGGGTTTGAGAATGGTGCTTCAATGACTTCGTTCCCTGGCGCTGCCTACCCAGCAATCACGAAAGGTGTCCCCGAACAGCTCAAGTAAAGGCAGGTTATTCATGCCAAATGGGGAGTTTCTGCAATAAGCTCCAGTGGGAAAAGATAATTTATTTCGAATTATGTGACCGCGGATTTGAAGTACTGTTCAGTACATCAATGTTGAGAAATGACGATTCGCGGTTGCCCCACGTAATGTTGCTGAAAATCAGCCTTTTTTTCTTTTCCAAGTAACCAGTAAAAAAAATTCGCGGAGAGATTTCGACGAGTAGAGGCAACGTGACTGGCGCTACGATTGAATGGTGCGATTGAATTGATAGCTCATCTGTTTGCGAAAACATACACAAAAAGTTTTTTCCGCTAAGCGAAATGGTGCTCAGATCGAGGAAGCAGTATGATATATTGATGCACTGCGAATTTTCGAGTCGCAGAATTAGTACACCGTCCATCCTTGTTAGGAGGGCTACTATGTTCAAAGGAAGCGTGGGAACATCAAACGTGGGCTCTATCTTTAACTACAGAATCACAGTGGATTTTAAGCGGCTGGTTGTTCTTCTGCCTACGGTTCCTCCTAATTTTTAAACCTTTTTCATCATAAGAATTTGCAAAAGCTACTACTCAGAGGCGAGTTTGATTATTCATTCTATTTTCCACGGTTTTTGAGCCATAGCTGCGGAGCGCTCCTCATGTGCTGTATAAACTGAAAATTCACTGAGAATATGTACAAGCCTACGGATTAAGTTGGCCCTACAAATCGATGCAAATCGTGTTCCCTCCCCCCTCGTCCTCCCAGAGACCACCCAGTGTAACTGCTAGGGACCTGTCTAGACTCCAGATGAATCATTTGGTATAGCAGTAAAGCAGAGAATCAGGAATTCTCGGTGTTCACGGGTGGGGCACCCTCCGCACCCCCAGCTGAAGCTTAAGCTGGCCAGGGAAGTCCGCCAACTTACCATGGAACTTTGAATGGAGACCTGGGTAGATCGATAGAGTCTATAAGGTTATTTACAAATATAGATAGCAAAACTGCAACCTGCATTTCACAAGCAACTTATGAGCAGGTAAAGTTTGTAATGGTGCAGTAGGGTGGAGGCTTGGTGGTGAGCTGTGAAGCATAAGCGAGGAATCGCATACGTCGAATCGAGTCGTGGTGGTTCAGTGGTAAGGTTCGACGTTCGACGACTCGATTCGACGTATGCGATTCCTCGCTTATGCTTCACCACCAAGCCTCCACCCTACTGCACCATTACAAACTTTACCTGCTCATAAGTTGCTTGTGAAATGCAGGTTGCAGTTTTGCTATCTATATTTGTAATAACCTTATAGACTCTATCGATCTACCCAGGTCTCCATTCAAAGTTCCATGGAACGCTGGCGACTTCCCTGGTGAGAGCGCAAGTTACCACGAGCACTCTTGCAGGGCTAAAAGTCTATGGTCATTTGTGCTCCAAACCTTAAATTAGGCTAGAGAAAGAGGAGTAAGGAGTAGTGGAGTGCCTTACCCCCTCCCAAGTACGTTAGAGCCAAACTCTCTGAATGGTGTCATTTCACCAAGCATTCATCAAGCTACTTGTATAAAAAGATCGCCTTTTAGACATTGAGTACATCTTCGAACTTCGAAGCTAATGCTGCTAGCGGTCAGGCCGCCAGCAATCCTTCAACAAAAAGCACCCCTTCTGCTCCTTTGCCGTTTGGTTTCGTCGGCAGCTTGAAGAACTTCAAGATTCCAAAAGTGAGTTCTTCATCGTTCTTAGACAACATTCTTTCAATTCAAAGATATGACAAAAAAAGAGACAAGCAGTCAGTTCTTTCAATTGTTTACGTGGCTCCCTTTCACCATTATCATCATTGGAGATTATCATCATTTTTTTTCTCTGTCATCCTATGATTTTCTTCTATTCTCCGTTAATTTACAGATTTTGTAAAGTCACGCCTTGAGAGAGGTTCGTATTAGATTCAAAGTAGCACCCTTTAAGTGAGATTACTTTTAGCGTGAAGAAGTAAAAGAGACTGGGAAAGAAAAAGAAGCGGCACCGTCGAATCCAGCACCGCAAGTCGCACCAACACCACCACCTCTGCCAAGTCTGTCATTCAAAGTTGTCAATCTCATTTATACCCTTGTTCGCTGCGAGTGAAGGGGCGTGTCGGGCAGTACGGATGTGCCCGAAACCCCTTCTCTGTCAGTTTGAACCGCTTGTGCGATAGCAACTGGTATAAAGCGAGTGATACGAACGATATGATACCGTCTTGTCACGAGCTCGTTTAAAAAACCCGTGGCAGTGAATTTGGCACCGCGCCAAACTCACCTCCCTGGCACGCCCATTCATCCGCAGCGAACGAAACTATAACTGTTGATTCAATGACTAACACTTCAGCACCTGCACCTAATCCTCCCCCGCTGCCTGCGAAAGCATCTATGCCAAGGAAAAGTTCTGCTCCGATTCCACCACCTCCCATGATTCCACTTCCTCGCCAGCCACTGCTCAGTACTCCTCCGTCAGGGCCTACAGGGATGCCAATGGGTGCCGGTCCACTTCGAAAGCCGCCAACGCTTCCCGATCACAGAGATAGAAGGTGAGTAATAAGGTTCACGGAAATTTTGAGCTCTCAGGGCTGTGTAGACCAGTGGTTATTCACTCATGTAGTCACTTCATCTAGGGTCACTACTAGTAGCAAATTGAGCTTGTTTATTATAAGCCCAGAAAATTTCCTTTCAAGGCCATCAATGATTGGTGCACCTCCATTCCGGGGAAGTATGTCATCAATACCGCTGCCAAAAGGTCCACCACCACCTCAGGCGACTCCTACTGGGGGCGGGACTTGGATACGCCCTCCTTCGCACATTCCTACTCAAAGTATCCGGTAAGAATGGTTTAGTAATTCTAAGATGGTTTTTACTCTATTCTTTTTCTTGCATGCATCCAAATGTTTTCACTTCGTGAAGCCGGCACCTGCAGCCTCCTCTGAGGCAAACACGAGATTCGTTCAATAGCAGTCATCAATTTCTAGCTATGCCTTTCGTTCTGAAAAAATGCACTGAAAATTCTGCTATATTCTTTACCACCCTGCTCTGCTCTTCTGTCTGTATAAGCTGAGAAACAGTAATGAATGACAAGTTTCGCGAAATGTTTGCCTACGAAATCCTAACAGACTTTTTTGCCAAACTCGTTAGGCTGCGTTCATACTTTGCGGCAGCGTCCACCAGCGACCATCGGCATTTCGGGCGTCCATCAGGTACTTGGAAAGGATAGATCTCGATCTAGCGAGCGAAAGCGTCTACCAGCGCCACCAGCGTCCAAGAATACGGTATTGTGTAGTAGTACTGAACTGTACTATTGTGCGGTGCGGTTGCACACGCCACTATTTCACGACGCCTAATCCACTTGTATCCTCCCTCCTACTTCCCCATACTCACAAGGGAACCCCAACAGGTCGATCCGGCCATTTGCAGTGAGATGTATAAATATGGACGTGTCTTGAGCCGCTGAATCCAAATCTGCCCTCCGATTTTGCGGAACGATTCTCCAAAGGGAGTTACGGACCATTTAATCTTAGCTCCGTTTGCTCAAGTTGAGAAGGATAACTGCATGCGGCAAGCCGCCGATGGCCTAGTGGATAAGTGCATTGCTTCAGAGACACGAGGTATGTAATTC